AGTCTCTTCCTCTTCTATTCCTCTTCTATCCACAGTTCCATCTGATCAGATTCCTATTTCCAATATTTCTATTGATCTCCCTTGTCTCAATTCCAATACTCATCCCATGATTACCAGATCCAAATCAACTTTTCCTCACTCTTCTTTCATTGCTTGTCCTTCTTCTTCCTCTCTTCAGTCTGAACCACAAACTTATCAACAGGCAGCCTGTTCCTCTGTTTGGCAAACTGCTATGCTTGAAGAATTTCAAGCTTTACAAACACAAGGCACTTGGTCTTTAGTTGATCTCCCACCTGGAAAACAAGCAATTGGCTGCAAATGGGTTTATCGAATCAAGAAAAATTCAGATGGTTCTATAGCTCGATATAAGGCAAGGTTAGTTGCCAAGGGTTTTCTTCAAACTGAAGGGGTGGACTATCATGAGACTTGTAGCCCTGTGGCTAAGCAACCAACTATCAGAATTCTGTTATGTCTTGCACTACATTTTGAGTGGTCCATCAAGCAGCTTGACATATCTAATGCATTCCTCCATGGTGTTCTTGACGAAGAAGTGTATATGGTCCAACCTCAAGGTTTTGTTCAGCCTAATAAATCTCAGCTTGTTTGCAAGTTACACAAGGCTCTCTATGGTTTAAAGCAAGCTCCTCGAGCTTGGTTCTCTACCTTCTCCAACTTTCTTCTCACTCATAAATTTGTTCAAAGTCATTGTGATTCTTCTCTTTTTATTAAGAAAACTTCTACTGCTATTACCATTCTTCTCATCTATGTAGATGACATTCTTCTCACAGGAAGTGATCCTCTCTATATTAACTCTCTCATTACACATATGCATACAACCTTTTCCATGAAGGAGCTTGGCCTTGTCAATTATTTCTTGGGTATTTCTGTCACCAAAACTGCTTCTGGTTATGTTCTTTCTCAGCAAAAATATGCCTCAGAGTTGTTGGCCAAGGCTGGTATGAGTGACTGCAAATCTTACTCTTCTCCCATGGCTACTAAGTCCACTTCTAGTTCTCTTACTGCAGCAAATGATACTCTCTTTTCTCAGCCAGCTTTGTACAGAAGTTTGGTTGGAGCCCTTCAATATCTTACCCTTACCAGACCTGATTTAGCTTTTGTGGTTAATCATCTTTGTCAGTTCATGCACTCTCCTATGACTAGTCATTTTACCTCAGTCAAAAGATTACTAAGGTATCTTAAAGGCACCATCTCTTATGGGCTTCATTTCACTGCTGGCCCTCTTCTTCTCAATGCTTATTCAGACTCCGATTGGACAGGTAATGTTCTTGATTGAAGGTCCACCACTGGTTTCTGTGTCTATCTTGGTCCTAATCTTATCTTTTGGTCTGCCAAGAAACAACCAACTGTGGCTAGATCTTCTTCTGAAGCTGAATATAGGGCTTTAGCACAAACTTTAGCTGAACTTAGTTGGATTAGGATGTTGCTTGCTGAACTTCATATTTCTGTTCCTGTGCCTACCCTATGGTGTGACAACTTATCTGCCATAGCTATGAGTCACAATCCAGTGTTTCATGCCCGTACTAAACACATTGAGGTCGATTATCACTTTGTTCGCGAAAGAATTGCCTCCAAGAAGCTTCATATCTGTCATATCCCCACTTCTGATCAAGTTGCTGATGTCTTTACTAAACCACTCTCTGTTACTCGTTTTCAATATCTTCAGCACCAGCTCAATGTCCTTCCCAGTCCCCTGAGCTTGCGGGGGGCTGATAAGCAACCTGATAATCCAGCCACTCAAGCTACGGTTTCAACACAGAAGGCTTCAGCTTATATCAGTGCATTCTAGAGTATTCTTGAGGTAGTTAGTTTGTTAGGAAGGTAGTTAGTTTGTTAGGCCTTAACCACAAGTAGTTAATTGTTGATTAGGTAGTTATAGTCAGGTTACTCATTATCTCTTGTCATATATAAATAGATCATCTCTGTATTTGATTTGAATGTGAATAATATCAAGAACTCCATTTCGCTTTAAATAGATGCACCCGAAGTTGGTTGGTGGTGGGAACGGAAGAAACACATCTGCATTGAAAATGACAAACTAATTTCAGTCAGATTTATCCAGGCAAACTAAAACAAATTAGAGAGGTGACTGATGAGAAAAGTGAAAACAAGAACGCTCTCAATCGACTCATAAAAGTGAGAAAATAGGGGAGGGAAAAACAAGCGAGAATATCCACACAGAATACAGGATGAAAGCTCTGCCAGTGTGTGTAGAATGTTCAAGGGGGAAGAAGCTTCTAGAATATTTTCTTTTCTTTTATGATTCTTGGCCAATTCGAATCGGATCTCTGCTGTGATTCAATTATCAGTCAGGAAAATATTCTGATACACATCCTTTAAAAAAATATGTATCATATATGTTTTATAATTAAAGAAAAATAACATAATTTTATATTTTTTGAGTTATAATCATAACTAACAAAATAAAAAAAATCATAACTAAACACCATATGAAATATAATCAAAGATCTCATCAATTATAACTAAAATAATGTCAGAACTAAAGAGAAATACTGATCATAACTAATACAAAATTACATAATTAGGGGTGCATATAGTAAGAGAGATGTAGGGTATAATTCTCCTATAAATCAGGTCATTTGGATATTTCATCCAATGAGCAATAATTTGTTTAAATTGTTGGATTTTTAATTTATTAGTTTATCAATGTTTAATTATTATGGGTAAATTATAAATACATTTTTTGAGATTTGTTAAAAATATAAATTGTCTTTTGTGGTTTGAAAAATTACAAATACCTCCCTATCAGATTTTTTTATTTAACAGGATTAATTAAAAATATAAAATTTCTAATTGTTCATTTATACAAAATATAAAATTATCTAAATTATTAATTAAAATAAAATTTTAACATTATTAAAAACTGTTAATTAATTTGATGATTTAATAAAATGACTATTTATTATGAAATTAAAAATCTTAAGGACGTTTAATTTTTAAAACTACAGGATATAATTTATAATTTAAATAAATCTCAGAGGGTGAGTTTATAATTTGTCCAAATAAAAATTATAAGAAAAGGTATGTATATTTCTAAAAAAATATATATTTTATCACCCCAATGATTCATACTAAATTATAAATACATTTTTTAAAATTTACTTAAAATATTAATTTTTGTGTGTGATAAAAAACTGAGATATTTATTAATAAATCTCATCTCACAAAAAATACTCTAATTAGTTCCAAATTTTTTCTATTGATCTATTAAGTTCTATTAGTAGAAAGTTTCTTTCTGTATGGTCCTATTTTTTTATTTTGGTAGTGTTTTGATGGACAACTATACCCTTTTATTAAGGTGACAAGTATGATGTGATACTGTAATGTGGCAGATATTAATGTAACACTTCAACGATGTGACACTCCAAAAAATTTAAAAATTCCTTAGTGTACTTTTCTTAAATGTGACAACGTGACGGATATAATGTGATACTCTAAAACTTTTATTCCAAAAAAATAAAAATAAAAAATTCTTAGTGTACTTTTTCCAAATGTAACAACGTGACGGATATGATGTAACTAGGGGTGAGCAGCGGATATACCGATCCGCCAAAACCGATCGAACCGAACCGATCCGCCGCATTTTGGACGGATGCGTGATGACGAGCGGACGGTTGCGGATTGATTTTCTCCAATCCGCCAATTTGGCGGACGGATGGCGGATTTGAGATTTTGTGGCCGCAACCGAACCGCCAAACCGCCAAATCGTGAGCACCCCTAGTAATTTATAAAACTTTGTATTTTCAATTTGTTTAAATATTATGTTTGTGTTTTCAATTGAAAAAGAGTTTAAATATTCTGTTGAAAAAAAATTTTCAACTTGAATATATTTTTTGAATTGAGAAAAATAAACGTATTATTCATCTATATTTTTTAGTTTTTAAATCTAACTCTAAAAATAATAAATAGAAAATATGATATATGCTGGTTGGTTTTTGTTTTCAAAAACATATGTAGACACTGCTCTGTTCATGATTTTGGTGGTTTGAATTGTTATTATATTTTTAGAATCACAGATTATAATACTTTATGTAGATGAATCATGCTGTGATTGTAATATGTGGATGAGGCATGCAGTGATCGTGATATTCTAAAGTTCTAAACTTTCTTTCTTTGAATAAGGCATACAGTGATTGTAATACTTTTTTAAGTCATTGATTGTAATACTTTTTTTTTTTTTTTTGAGGAAGTGCACAAGTTGAATTATGTTAAAAATTTATAAAATTTTAAACCGCCAAACGGATTCGCATCCATCCGCCAAACCGCCAATCCGCTCAATCCACATCCGTCGGATTGGCGGACGGATGCGGATTGATTTTCTTCAATCCGCCAATCTGGCGGACGGATGGAGGATTGGAGGTTCCGTGGCCGCAACCGACCCGCGCCCACCCCTAGATGTAACACTCAAAAAAAATAAAAACTTCTTAGTATATTTTTTTTAAACGTGACAACGTGACAAGTATAATGTGACATTTTTAAAAGAAAAATAAAAAATTTTTAGTGTACTTTTTCTAAATGTGATAACGTAGAAGGTAAAATGTGACACTTCAAAAAAAATAAAAACTCTTTAGTATACTTTTCTCAAACGTGACAACGTGTCGGCTATAATGTGACACTCTAAAAAAAATTAAAAACTCCTTAGTGTATTTTTTCCAAACGTGACATGTGACACTCCAACATGGCAAGTATGA